AAGATGTGAGCATATGGCAGATAATTATCCTGTGCCTTTCTCTGTGAGCAGTTTCCCCATGGTGGCCCATGAAGACTATAGCACAGCTGGGACTGAAACCTGGTATACCAGTTTCTAGACTAATGCTGTGCCCACTGGACCTCTATCTCTCTCCTCTGTATTTATATGGAGTGTAAGTGCTGATATCACAGTGTGATCTTTCTTATTTCAGGTAGAAACTTCCTTTGGTACTGATTTTAAGCCACTGCAGAGTGCAAGTTGTGTGCATGTCGTGTGCAGAGATATAAACAAAATGCAAATCTGTACTTGCGTTATTCTTTATGGTAATTCTGGATGAAAGATGCTATAGAGATGCATTACCACTGTTGCAGGCTTGGGAGGTTTTGTTTACCGACATTTTCTCGTGAAAGTTAATTTCTTGCTTAGAAATATAAAAGTACACTAACTTAAAATAAGATCTTGGTGTTGTTTCCTGTAGTATAGCCAGGAAAAACAGTTACAATCTGTCTTCTTTAAAATCACATTCCTGGAAGATATTCTGGCAACCTGGATATTTAAACACATTTCAAAGAAAAACAACTTTGGATCAATTAGAAATTGTTATCGTATTTTTGTTCTGATAGCGTAGAATTATACCTCACTGCAGACATTGCCTGGAGTTATGAAATAGGCAATAACCTCTGAAGGAGGCTATGAATTAGCTGCTCATGGAACATGAGGTGCATTATGTTCTAAAAAAGGAGGAATAGGTAATCACAGACACTGAGTAGTTCACATAGGTTCTCGATTAGATTTTTGGAAGGATAAAGGAAAGACTGCAAAGCACAAAATGTTCCAGAACAAAATTTAAATGTGGTTTCTTTGCCAAAAGTTGAGTAGTATGGCTACTGTGGAAAGCTGAAGTCTGCATGTTTTTGCTAGTGGGCCTGAGAAGCTTCTTTGTGGGAGGGGGTTTCACTTGCCTTACCTCTAAGAAGATCTCACTAAAACAGATACTGTCTGGCTGCACATTTTCTTTGTCTTTTCTTGAAATCCAGTTGGTGTCAGTGCTAGTCATTTAAATGAGTTACTGTTGAAATGGCTTAAGTCGTATTTGCTGGGCGGCCTTATAATATCTTTACTCTGCCTTTTTATGCACACTTTAAGTGTATTAATTTTCTCAAAACCTTGGTCCTGTCTTATGGTCCAAAAACTTTTCCCTATCAAACTGCTCTCCTTTCAGGAGACAGCATCAAGAGCCAGGGAATTTGAAGACTGACTTTGCACCCCCAAAAAATCTATGGGGTTATACTTAGTGAAAATGAATGCTCTTTGGTGAGCTTGTTTAAATTGGTATCTGGCAGATCTTCAGAACAGGTCTCCTGAATCACTTTGTATTTCTCGAATGTAGACATACTTTAATGGATGCCTATTGTCTACTAGTTTTTGTATAATAACTGAATATTTTTTTTATATTGCCACATGGCATGAGGTAGAGGGCAAAGTTAGTGGACATACATGCTATTGGTTAATTACTCTAAGGTCTAGCATTTTCATTTTCTCAAAGACCTTTTCCTGAAACTTAGACCAATAAATAAAAAAGCGAACAATTGCCAGGGAAGCTTCTGCCACAAAAGAATATTCAGCTTCCTTATGTTGAATTGCTTACTCACAGATAGGTAAATACTTATTAGCCATCTTCTGTATGACACTAGCTACAACTTGTGGGCAACAATGCTTTGTCATATGGAAGTTCTTGTTCCATTACCTTTTGAATTAATTCCCTAGTGGGGAAAATGGGGATTAGCCGGTTGTCACTGGTGACATTACTGGGCTTTTGTAATAAAAGAAAATATATCGTCATCTTGTGATGCTACTACAGCATACAATATATGGTTTATAATATATACATACATACAAAAATACATAGTCATCTTCTGATGTAGTATGACCAAGCCAAAAGCGAATTAAAAGTTGAAATTAAGATCTGAAGTGTGGAGTTGCTCCTAGTGTTTTGGAGATTATGATGAGACATGGGAGCAGGGTCTAGACAGAAGGGAACTGTTTAATTGAGCCTCCATGCATGTGCTCAGAAAAGACAGGTAAGTTCTTCCATGATAATCTGAAAAAATGGTAACATTAAAAATGGTTGTAACCAATCTGAGATGCGAATATAAGCCTTCATATGAGACAAGCATGAATGCAGATCTAGTTTAAGATGCACAGTTTGAGTTGATTCATACTTTTATATTGTTGAACAGTGGGCCACTTTCAGTCTAGCTGGCTAACTTAAGAGTAACTTGGAGAATTTGCACAGCAGAGTTCACTTAAAGATATCTATTGGCAAACAAGACAAGGAATTGGATGCAAATCTGTATTTCTTTATTTTAAATGCTTTAGTGATTGTTCTGTAAAATCTGATTAACTCTCTGGAAAGTCTGCAGAAATCTCATTTCAAATTAGAAAAGATTTATTGAGTGAAATATCTAACTTAATACCCCAGTCAGTATGCTCATTTTTTTAAAAATATAAAATTCATTTAAATTGGATTTTTATAGTAATTTCAGATAAAAACACCTTGTCTTTTTAGCATGCATGAGATTCTGGTAAAATGATGTGGATGTATAAATTTTGTCAGGGACAAAATTGAAGGTCATGGTGCAAAGAGCAGAAGGAGATTTTGACAGAAACCACAGAAAGCAACAAGTCTTCTGCTGTATACATATTTGCTGATTATTTCTTTAATTAGATTTTTCATACCTGCCAGGCTTCAGCAGTCTGGCTGCAGAAAATGAGGTTATGTTTATTCCAGGGTTTTTCGGAAACCTTATAATTTTGAAGTTGCATTCAGAGCATAATTCTTACGCAAAATTTGAGTTTTGTGGCAAAACTTGGATCCATGGAACACAAATACTGGAAACTTGCTTTGTTCCTCTAATGCTTTAAGTATTTTAAAATACTTTCTTAAAAACCTGTATTGGCTAGCATTGGAATACAGCCTTCAGGCAAACAATCAGAACATAAGCGCACAGGCTACCCTTCTTTTTGCTTCAGAGCCTTTAGTTTAAGATATTGCTGAATATAATGCTGCATTGATAAATAAAATTTTAATTAGAAGATCCTTTATCTCTAAAGAAGGAGGTCAATTTATTGTTGCAGGATCACCACTCTCATTGACTGAAGTGACAAATGCTTGTGTGTTCTCAGAAGAATCATTATGATGTTGAAATTGTAGTGATTAAAACATTCTACAAGGGATCAACTTGATAAACATCAAATTCTGTTTTAGTTAGGTTTCAACAGTATGTGTTACAGGTAGTTGCTTACTTTGTCTTTGATTTCAAAAATAGAAGAAAGATTAAAGAAGGTACAGTTCAAAACTGAGAGCACCATGTAGCACTGATTTTGACATACTGTTGAAATTGGATCACAATAAAATGGTTTTAAAGTATTTTCAGGTGAATGAAACTAGTGCTGAAGGAAAATAAGCAACATTTTACATATGTAAAATTTTTTTCATACGTAAATATGTCATTGTATTAAGAAGGGTTTGTGTTGAAATTTAGAAGACTAGATCTTCTGAAAAGAGCAGCAGTTCTGCAAAGTTAACAAAATGGGTAGAAATATGATGACTAATTGCCAAATAAGAAGCACTACAGTAATATAATTCAAAAGTTTAAAATTAATGTTTATTTAAATCAAAATTTGTGTTACAGTAAATTTGTTTAACCATTGTATATTTACTCTTTCATCAGTGAGAATCTGTTGTAATTGATGTATGCACTAGGTGGGTAGTTGAGTTTTTCTCTAGGTGATTTGTTTTTATAACCAGTTTGTACTTGGTTTGAATCTTTAGTTACTGAATGAAAGGTTTTTAGTAAGGATCCTATAGTCAAATAATTCATTTTAATTCCCGTAGCTTTAAGGCGATACAGCATAAACACTGTTTTCATGCAGTGTTCTTGAATTCTTTGAAGAGAGCCATACTCTAGTTCCATGCTGGACAGACGACAATGGATTTCCTCTTGCTCTTTTTTTTTTTGTTCTGTAGTGTAGTGTTATTTAAAAAACAAAAGGTTCAGTTGCATTTAGGTCAGTTATTAAAATATTGCTGGTCATTTCCTTTGACAGAACATTTCTATTGTGTTATACCAATGACATTAGGAGGAAAGGTTATTCCCACTAGTCTGGCTGATATCAATACATACTGGCGTATTACATCCTCTGGCTTTCTGGAAATGCTTTATTTCAGCAGCAGCTTGGGAACAGGAAATTTAAGGTTATATGCTGTCTGGTTTCAGACTGCATGATACAAAGTGTGTTTCCTAGAAGACACTGTCTACCTGACAAATTGGATAAGCTTAAATGGGTCAAGTTCGGATTAGATTTTTACCAGCTGTAGGTGGCAGACAAGGTAGAATAAGGCTTTTAGTCTCTCTGTAGTATGTTTTTGAGGAACTTACATGAATCGCATTTGTATCTCAGCCATTCAACTGTTACTTCAGAATGTAGTTTACTTTTAAGATACAACCTGTTGGTCTTGGGTGAGTCTGTAAATTATGTAAACATCAGGTCTTTTTCAAATCTGTACTCAGAAGCAAGTGTTCCCCTAAGTGCTCCATCCACATTCTAAGATCATAACTTTTTCCTTTTAGAAAAGCAAGAACATCTGTGTTTCTGAAGTATAGGAACACTACCTTCCAAAACTCTTGTTTCCCCCAACAATTTTCATGTGACAGAAATGTATGTTTTTCATCGTAATCACAGAAATGAGTGATGAGTAGACAGTTAATGCAGCACTGCCAGCCATAGTCATTCAAAAATCATGAATCTTATTGCTGAAAGTCATGACCTGGTTTTCTTCCAAAGCGTGATACAAACTTTGCATTTAATATTATGGGTTAGCTTTGTCACAAAGCTTCCACGTGCATACACGCCTTTTGTATCAGTATGGAAGGGGGACTGCTTGTCTTTCTATTGCCGTAGACAATTTTGGCCTCTGTTCTTTTCTAATTCAACAGAATTTAGCTTCTTGGAATCCTTCAAACCCTGAATGTCTCCTCCTTGTTGTGAAAGAGCTTGTGCAGCAGTATCACCAATTTCAGTGCAGCCGATTACGTGAGAGCTCTCGTCTCATGTTTGAATATCAGACTTTACTTGAAGAGCCCCAGTATGGAGAAAACATGGAAATCTATGCTGGCAAGAAAAACAACTGGGTAAGCTATTAAGAATATTTCTGCCAAAGTGCTTTTTATTAAAATAAAAGTGATACTTTTATTTTAATAAATACAGCTCTTACCTTGCAAAACTTCTGTGACTCTCCATGCTTTATGTTTCCAATGGAGAAAACTTCTCTTTGATTTCAGCTCACTTTCTATATTCCTGTTTTGTACGTTGCTGTCATTCCACTACCTTGGTTGAACCAGATTTCCAAGTGAGTAACTGGTTATTAACCTGGTATTATTTCATCTCAGTTATAGATGAAAACTGGGAAAACTGTTGAACAGCCTGTGCAGTATTTACAGGGCACAATATAGTGTTATTTGGAAGTTTGAGTTAGCTCTGAAGATTTGAGAGGCAGAATAACAGTGTTGGTATGATGCCCTGCCCTAATGAGCAGGGGTAGGATGTATTAAGGTGTGGTGCCATATTACGATTGAATTGCTGCAGCTTCGTATGTCTCTCTGGCATTTGTTTACACTGAGATGAGTTGTTTCAGGAACCTAAACTGGAGGGGGAAAAAAAGAAAACCCAAACAACTAAGTTTCTGCAGAAAGACAGGAGGAGGTGAGACGGGGTTAGAGTGGTGACCTTGTAAGGCCATGTCTTCATACAACAGTTAGACATTAAATGGGCTTATCTGTTTCCTGAAGTTGTATCCTTTGCCTAGGAAATGTGCTGTGCTGCATAGAAATGCTCCACGTATACCATCTCATCCTCCTAAAATGAGGCTATTGGCAATGTAGACATTTTGCTTGTGGGTGATTTGGTTTTATAATAGGTTTTGTTTTTTTTGGTTTTTTTTTTTTTTTAAATGGATCTCTGTCACAGAGTAAGCTTTGCAAAAATCAGTTTTTTTACATTGGTAATATATATTTATCATGGGAAGTTTGGAGTAAGTTATATCAGGAAATACCCAATTGTGATTATGCTGAACACGTCCCCTTCTTACTTTCATCAATAACATACTTTCAGCATGTACTGGCCTTCAGAAGCAGCATCTTCTGAAATACATGCATTCTGAAAATCAATGAAAATTCAGCATTCCTGTTATCAGGGCCTGAAATTCAGCTTTATGTCACTTTAATCATCCTTAAGTTACAGGTGACACAAGGATGTTTACAACTTGCAGTACTGTTTTCATATTCTTAGAGAAGTCACCTAGGCTTTTTTTATTTTAAGCCAAGTAAAATTTTCTTCATCACAGAATTTCAGATCTCTTATGTTCATAGATCAGAATATTTCATTAATTTGTTCTTAAATGTTATTCTTTATAGCACAAACAACTTGCCACATCTCTAAATACCATCAGATTGGTTTATTAAAATGCGGAAGACTTTCTGAACTGTATTGAGATTTTATCACAATTTTTGGCAGCTGCCAAAATTCTACTCAAGATTGTAGAAAACTATGGGTGTTTTCATTTTTTTTATAGGAAAACAGTATCTACTCGAGCCTGTAAGTCTTTCCTCAGTCTTTGGTAAATGAATAAACATTTTTTTTTTCTTTTTTTTTTTTTTCATTTGAAATGCTGTCTTAGTTAAAAATATTCCCATAAAATAAATCTTAAATACATTTTGGGGTAAATCCTTTTAATCACTGCAAAGCTATCTGGGGTTTCTGTAGCATGTGCTTTGTTTTCGAAGTTTATATTCTCTATCAAGGAGACACTGAGAGCCTTATTTGGAGGTTCTATGAACTTGGTATATACATGACAGAGGCTTGTTTATGAGTGTCCTAAAACTCTAAACTGTGACACTAATTTGTGTTCTCCTTCTGTCCTTTACAACTGTCTTGTTAGTCTTGATTATCAGTGCAACAGGAGTGTTTATCTGAAAAACAAGATCTGAATTGCACATTATCTCCTCTTCCTAGAAGTCGTTGAAATTCATGTTATTGCCATCTCTCAGGGATCAATAGTAGCTCCAGACTTACGATGTTATCATCTACGAACAAACCTTGCACAGTGTTATGAAAGCAGTCATCATAAGTGCATGAGTTAAAAAGCTTTGAAGAGGAGGCCTGAATTCAGTGCCATGTCCCAAAATGGAACAGAAATTTTCTCTTACACATTTATTCCAGAATCTCCAATTTCCTGAAGTGATCTCCAAGATTTATGACAAATAGACAAACCATTATCTAGCTTAGCAGCTTCATGAGTACTGACTGATACAGGTGCCCATTAACTCTATAATCTCTCAGTTCTGTGGCCAAAAATTCATCTGACTTGACCTGATGGCTGTGACTGGGTGGTTGGGTTTGGGTAGGAGAGTACCATGGACAGGGACTACTCCCTGCACCTCCAGAGCACTTTCAGAAGTAATGCTCTGCAAAATGATCATGATTGAATGACACAAAGATCTAGTGTGCGAGTCCTTATTTACTTCCACATCTTGGAGCAGCTGATGTTTTGATCAGAGGCCATTCAGTGGCAGTCTCGGACTTGGCATGTTACGAGAAATAACTTTCTGGATTTTACGGCAAATGTCTTATGTCATTTTTTGGAAGCTAAGTCCAGACAAGAAGCAGTGTCTATAACATCCATTTCAATCTGAATAAAAAGCAAATGCCCTGACTGTCATCAGAGCAGTCTTTGTGTTATATATGCACAAGAAGGCAGTGATTTTTCTGCATGCATAAGTAATACAGCATCAGAAAGTTGGCATCTATCCTCACCAGTAGTGTCATCAGGAAAGGTTTCAGAGTCTGGCTTTAATATATGTTCACTTTTGCGTGGCTTATATGTTCAGGAAACAGTGAAGTAGTACATATGTGTTACTGTGGGAGAACGGATGCTGCATAATCATATACCTCTGATTTGTCCCCTTGCCTGTTAAAATGAAGTACTGTGTTTTAAAAATTGTGTGTCATCGTGTAACTAAGTTGGGTATGTGTGCAAAAACAAGGCAGTGTTAAAACTGAAAAAAGTTTTACTACCTTGTGTCAAGATATCCCAATTTTTCTGTACTTAACTGCATACAGTTAATGTTTAATGCTTTTTGTACTGCTAATTCAACATGACAAATATAACTGCTGTATGGCTATTTTATTGAATTAAAAAATAGAGATGAACAAAAAATTAATATGGAGGAAATCAGGCGGGCATTTGTTTTTCAAAAACAGCCAACTTCATTGCTTCATAACCAGGTGGACAAAGTCTGGTTTTCAGGAAGTGTATGAAACAGAAAGGAAATCCTTTCCACTTCCTTTGCATATGCTTTATGCATAAAAAAAAAAGAGCAATGTGTAGGGGACATTTGGCAATTCTTAGTAAACGGCTGTCTAGGTGTTAAAAGTCACAGAAATCTGAAAACAAATGATATAAAACCTACTTCAATTCTTTCCTCTATGTTTATTCAGAGGACGCTTGTGGTACGTTGTCACACTAGTCATTGCAAATTCACTTGTGAAGATGCCTCTATCTTATATATATGCTCTTTTAAATTTGTCAGGTTTTCAGCTTTGTTTTCAGACGGTTTGCACGTCTCGCAAGGCCTTTGTCCGGAAATGAGTACAGCCAAGATACATCTCTATTTAGGGCCTAACAAACTGTAGTCTGATTTTTGTCATGCACATTGTTGTATTCTTACTACTTTTTGCTGTTGACTTACTGGCAATGAAGTTTTATGGTTTTAAGGTGTTTTCTCGTAACATCTGTGAAATCTGTAAATTATTCTCTTCCTCTTCAGTAATTCCGGTGAGAAATGTTTTAAATCTAAACCCTTCTGTTTGGTATGAGTGCTCACACATTTTTCTAGTTAATATTTCATACTCGGAATGTTCAGTTTGTGGTTCTGTCTTAGACACCAGGTCTCATTAGTGTTACCTTTTTTCCACAGACTGGAGAATTCTCAGCTCGCTTCCTCTTGAAGTTGCCTGTAGATTTCAGTAACATTCCTACGTACCTTCTCAAGGTAAAGTTAATGTCTAAGTTCAGAGTATTTGTGAGAAAGTATGAATAATTGAAATATTCTTAGTAAGAATTTTGACTTTCCTGCCCTCCTCCTTTTCAAGGCTTTGAAAGATCACCATTTCTAAACCTGATAGGTTTATGTTTTGGAAAGGTGATTTTAAGACATACTGTTGTTTTACATGCTGTTTTACCAGGTAGTAGCTATACACCTATCACTCTTAAATGACCTTGCAGGATTTGGGTTGTTTTAGATGATGTCCAGTGCAAATGTTCTAGGTTTTTAGACAATATGGTAAGTAGCAAACATTTGACCATATCCAAGGTATTATCTTGGGGAACAAATTTAAACATTTCCAAATAAACTCTTTTATGAGTCTATGGAATTTCATATTATGTAAGTGTTGGGTTTTTTTAATGAGCAGTCCAATTGTACCGGTAGTCTTAATAATAGAAGGAGAAAAGCAAACTAAAAATACCATTTCTAACAGGGATGGAGAGCAAATACTGATGACAAGAATTGAGGGAGTTGATGATTACTTTGTTTCTGAACACTAATTTGATCAGATGCTTTAGAAAGTAGTACTGTAGAGTATTGACTTGAGTTAGAAAAAAGTATTTATTTCTTTGCTAAGAAGGAAAAAGCAAAAGGCAAAAAAAAAAGCCAAACCAACCACAAACAAACTTGTGACAAACTATCACACATGGAATAATTTGAAATGAGTGGTCTTTGCAGCAGGACAGTCATTCTTTCAAGCCATTGCTGTGGAAGCCCAATGTAAAGTGCATGTTGTTATGTTCAGAGAACGCAGTGAAAGATTTAGGTTGTCACTGTTACCATTACTGTCACAATGAAGTACCTGAACTTCTACTGCAGACAAGGTCTGAGTCACCTGATGTTACCAACACCCATCTTTCCTTTAAATTGCATGTCTGCCTCTTAATCATCTTTTTACTTTTAAAGATTTGGGAAGACAGCTACTTAATGTTTAGTAACTGATATGCTGAGATGAAAATGTCAGTGTGGATCCCATTACCTCCTCTTTATCTTATTGTTAGAACAGTCTTCAACTAGTGTAAGATCACAATTGCAGTTTCTCCAAATAAGATGTCTCAAGCTAAGAACCATGAAAATAAAGGCAGGCACAATTATAATCTGACTAAATTTTTTGGTTGTAGTCTGAGATCGGTATCCTGTGATCTCTTTAGTTTCTGTAGACTGTTTGCTGTTTGAGTAATGAGCTGCTTCTAACTTCCCAAAAGCATTCAGATATTTTCAGTTTATTCTATGTTCATGGTAGCAGCCATTCTCCCAGCTGCTGTCTTTAATCAGGACTTTCTCTTCTCACTTGATGGGAATGCTTCCAGTCAGATGTAAGATGGTTGGCGAAGGCCTTTTCAGGAAAGATGGTGTTGAGAAACAGGGAGCAGCAGCAGCTCACCTGGACTGCTGGATAGCTGCAATTTGTTTCTGAAAAGATGTGGTAAAAAGGAGACTAAGAACATCTAATGCAAACTATGGAGTTCTGGCATGAGCAGACAGCAAGTGCCTTATTTTCCAGGAACAATTTTAAATTGGTTGGGAATTTCAGGACAAGTACAATGCCCAGTATGCTTAACAGCTTCAGTCGCAGGACTGTCTTGTACCGCTGTTCAGCCTCTGGAGAAAATGCATAACTTGGAGTTTGGAAGGTGGTGTATGAATTAGTGTAGCATGTAGGAACCCTGTGACAGAAACAGATTCTACTTCTGATTGTAAAGAGTAACATTTTAATGCATGACAGCATACTCTTCCTTAATGTAATTCCTTATCATGTTCACTGAGTATCTTCCACCTTCTCTAAACAAGCTTGGTACACTGTGGATAAACTATCAGTGCTCCACAACTACTTTGTGGAGGAGACTTCTCTATGCAAGCTGATATGTTAACTGTCTGTGGCAGGAAAGTGGTATGTAGTCTGAATGAGTATCCACAGGAGAACAAATACAGGTTTATTCCAGTAGTGTTTGATGACGGCAGAAGAATGGTTTGACTCAGGCTCCAGCATGGATTATGACAGTGTGTGCTCTGTAGCAGGCATGGATCTTTTACCCCTGCTGCCTTTAGGTCCTTGTATTCTGACATTATCAGCTATACAAATGTCATCTCTCAAGACAACAATATGAAGGCAGGTAGAGTTGGAAGTACTCTGTTGTGATTGAAATAATTCTTCTCTGACTACTCCATATTTATAAAGCTATTAAAAAAAATAAAGTTAAGCTGTTCATGTCTATTACTTCTTTTTATTTTTTTATTTTTTTATTTTTTCCTGATGAGACTTTTGACATAAATAGATCTTTGATTTGTTGCAATAAAATAGGCTTGATTTTCCATCATGTCTGCCAGTTGGCTTCAGTGCTACCTGCTGGATTATGATACATGATAGAACATCTATTGATTGATGCAGTGGAAATAATTGTTAATATATTACCCTGAAAGGTGGAGGAGCAGTCTGTAATTGAAGACTGTTAGTGTATTAACAGCTTAATGTTTAACTGCAGAATTTAATGTGTTTGAATGATGTTCTCGTCTGTAGCCAGCCTTACAGCTTCTCTGTAATAATTTGCGAAGTTCAAACCTGTGTTATACTTTCTCTGCTATCTTCTTTTTTGATGTTTAATTAATACCACTTGTATTAAAATCTGGTGAAATATTTAAAGACTATTATTTTTGCCTCATCAATCACTCGTAGTACCCCTATGATTTCTAACACTCTTCTGAAATTTTTATTGATGTCAGTAGGTAAACACAAGTGTGACTGTAAAGCCTTGTATGCTAAGCCAATATTCAGGTTTGAGGATGTAAGCTGTTAGGACAGGGTGTAGCGTTACAAAATCTTTGGAGTTGTTGAGAATGCACTCCAGAATCAGAAGATCTTACTCAGTCAAATTTGTACTGATGGTGGTGAAAGTATTCTTTATGAAGAATAACAAATTAAAGGCATGGCATGAGCGGAGGGGCAGATTTAACTAGGTAATTTTAAAGGTATTCACTGTACTTAATTTAAAATTCAGTTCAAGTGTATGCATGTTAAGGAAAACAGCTGAGTACATAAAGAAGAGCAAGAATGATTAAAAGAGCAATGCATAATACACTGTCTATTCCTCTGAATTCCGAAGTTCTAGTAAAAGTTCGTCAGTTATGTATTTGGAAACGTACTACCCCCTGCAGCAGATAAATCTTTTTTTTGTAAGTGTTCTTGGCGTATTGCTTCACATTTGAAAGAAAAAGTGTCATTTTTTCTTTTCCATTCTAAAGAATTTTTCAGAAAGAAAATGTTAATTTATACTGAAAAAGCACATTTAGAAAAAGATCTCTTTCATTGTTTTTTCTTGTACAGAGATATACTTTAAGACAAAGGTTTTGAATTTAATGTGGACCTTTGTATCCACTTCTATATTGTTTTCTAGTGCAACTCAATTTAACATAAATGAAAATTTTTAATTCTGAAATAACTGCAGAAACAAGCTGGTGGCTCAAACTACTGGTAAGCCTTTCATTAAGATTCTCATATTGACAAAAATGGAGCTTTGGCTCAGGAAAATCCTTATATCTGTATTTGTTTACTATTATGCTTTCCCCTTCCTTTTTTTTTTGAATTTTTAATCAGCACATTAATTTTGGCTTAAATTCTTTTCTGTTGGTTACAATGTTTTTAATTTTCGCCACACTATTTCATAAATGGAAGCATTCACTGTGCATACAGGTTTTGAGAGTCAGTCTCTAGTTCACACTTGTGCCTCTTTACAGATACCATATGTGCCACAGCAATAACGGAGGTAATAGACTTAGGATCTAAAATGTCTCATCCAAATCTTGTTTCTTTCTTTGTGGTATTGGTCAGCTAGAGAGACATGTTATCATAATGATAATTCATTAAAAAGCTTCAGCTCAGTAATTTAAAAATTATACTGGGTTATGTGACTGTAGTATGATTGCACAGTATGAGTGAACTTTAGCGTGTGTTGCCAGTGATGCTGTTGAAAGCAAGACATTTAGGTATTTTTCTTTTATTTCCATGGGATTTTGAGGTTTTGGCTGAGAAAGATGGTCCTTGATTACCACCACCTTCTTGTATGTAATTTTTAAAGTATTAATTTCATATTCTTAAGTATCTGCTTGTATCATTTATTTATGATGTAGTGACCAGCAGGTTTCCAATAATTTTTCGCTATTCAAGAGAAAAGGAAATAGACAAAGCAGACCTATTGTGGTGGGTTGGTTTTTTTTTTTTTTTTTTTTTTTTTAGAACATTTTTTTTTCATCTTTAAACCTGTTTTTTATGAGGAATTTTTTTGCAATGACCATTTTATTTAGTGCATCTCTTTTAGAACTGAAACAAATAAGAGACATTGTCTAGACACATTGCCAGGGGCCAAACAGTTGTGTGTAAGACTGTCAATGGAAAAGGTTTATCCTCAAGTTCAAATTGAAAGATAAGAACATATTTGTGTTTTTCCTTACTGTGATTTCACCATTTGGAAATCTGTTAAAAGACTTCAGTGCAACTTTTGTTTATGATGTAGACCAAATTCCAAGTACTGTGAAAAGACTGCAATACTTGTATGTGTATGAGTAATAACCTATAGTATTGAACAAACAAAAGTTAAGTCATAGTACTCAGGGTCAAATGAGATTATTTTTTTTTTCCCCCAGGCCAGTTTCTTTACTATTGTGATTTAGCAGATTGATTTATTTGACAGCATTTAAGGTTTGTGTTAAATTACCCTAAATACCAAAACATAAACATGCTTGTATGAAAAGTAGTACTTCAGCTGTTTAATTTAAAAACATGAGCTAAATATTCTGAAAAAGTATATTTTCTTTTCCTTTGAACTTCATTTGATTTTGTTGGTAGCTGGCTAACTAAAACCTAATGTGCTGTGTCTTAAGGTCACAAAGTGAATGGCAAGAAGGAATTGAAGTCCATATCTGACTTAATCTTTTTACACTAGGCTGTTTTA